GTTTCACTTTTCACTACTATATAGTTTCACTTTTTTTGTAGATATTTTTCGATTAAGGCTTTAAGAATTAAAATATTGTCAGAAGTTCGGCATTCTTTCTGAAACCAAATTGCCTGTCAGCTAGCAGGCAATCATGTTCTACAAAGTTCTGTAATCTATTGTTCAAAAGAATTCTACAAAATTCTGCATAATTGACTTTGTTTCCAGAATTAGGTGTAGGTCTAATTGTAACCTACATATTCATTGTCTTTTGATATATCATAGTTACAAATATCAATTCATTTGGTTATTATCTATTTTGTAATGATTAAGGTTTTCCTAGATTAAAGTGTTTGTCCGGAATTATACTTTGGCCTGTTTTATGTATTGCTAAGCGGCTTTAGGTAGTCTCCACCAGACTCCTTTGCAGGCAGAAATAATAGTAGAAATCAGCCTAAAAAGAATGTAGCTGGCCAGGGGAGTTAGCCGGCCACAGAGGGTCCAATTTGCCTGGCCAGTTACATGCCTTTTCAGGCCGATTTCTACTATTTATTCAGCCTGCAAAGGAGTCTGGTGGAGACAAGATTTTAGGTAAGTATTCACAATTTTACCCTGGAAAAAAGTATCAGTAACACACGGAAGACTATTCTCTCATTATCCGATGTCACTTGATACGCCACAATTGTTGAATGATCACCACACCCCTACATCTTGGTTGCATTCTATCTTCTTCAATATGCTAATCAGGCTGTAACCTATCCAATGGCCGTTGTTGCGATGTAAGGATGACCAGTAACAGAAGAACGTTCGGTGCCACACCATAGAATTTCTTCACTTCACCACCATGAAGGAATCTTCACGGCATTTCATAGATAAAACAATTTAGGAATATTTTACGTAGGCTTTCTTTGCTGTATTGCCTGGGTTCAAATCCCAAGGTCACAATCTTTTTGCCCTTGGGAAAGGCACATTACACCTATTTACTCTCTCAACTCGAGAAAATACTAGTAAGTACCTAGCTTTGGTTGGGGACGTCCTCTTGGATAGGACATGAAAAACGGAGATCCTGACTTGAGCATGTTAAAGGCGCACTTATCGAAATAAGTCTAGAAGTCCATCCCGGTGTGAGTGGTTCAAACCTTAAAGTGTGGTCTTACGCAGCTTGTACTTACTGTACTTAACAGGTGCAGCAGATGCAATGTAATACGATATAGTATATTTACATTAGACCACGCCCGACCACTGATGACCTACTTACAACCACCAATCACAACTGACTTACGCGCCACGCCCGTTCTTCTTGGTTCCATCCTTTTCGCCAATATACCCATCAATCTGTAACATACCCCACGGCCGTTGGTGCGACAAAAGGATGACCAGTAACAGAGAAGGTTCGGTGTCACACCATACAATTCCTTCACTCCACCACCAGGACTCTTCTTGGCCGGACGCAAAATCTGTTGCGGAGGATCTTTGCAGTTTTTTCGAGGTGTAAAAAAGGTAATTTTTCTGTTTCTTAATGCAACTTGTTGTACTGTAGATTAATGATTTGTTACGGGAACTTTTGTAAAGATATCTCTTGACGGAGTTTTGAACATTTACATGTCTTTTTTTCATCCGTTGCTATGGTGGTGTTGTACAATACATGATTTTGGCGCTCAAACAAACGCCATGTTGGTAAAAGCAAATCGCGCTCGAAGTTTGCGTCTTTTACCGCTAACACTCCGTGTTTCTTTGTAATATTCTTGACGAAAAGATGTACTACTAGAAAATCAAATTCATTAACCTAAATTTTGGTAGATATCCATGTTTTGTAAACTTTACTTCTAAATCTTCAACGCATGAGTGCTTGCCTACTGTGGTACCTTTCTGGCGCGTTTCTAAAGGACTAAAAAGTTCGACTTTCGTTACCTCAAATCTAGAAGTAATGCCTGGTGAAGACTCTTCGATTATAGACTACCCAGACCTTCCCACACCTATCTACTATCCTCCCCAGGCTTTTTGAAAATAATCTTGATCTCCCAAATTGTTTAATATATACTCTCCTAAAACAGACATTTTGAATTTAACGGCCATTGGACGTCGACGGAATGCAGCCCCTCCAGTCGTATACAACGACGGGATTCAAACTCGGGACTTGTAGGTCAAGAGACAGCCTTTTCCACCCTTATGCCATAACCTTGCTCTTAGGATGGCGGTAAATTACGTGAAATTTCGAAAAAGTGGTCTCGATTGGGGGCAGTTTACACGGTGTGTTTGTGCACTAGCACAGAACCTGCCATTCATGATTACTGATGTATAACGCCGATGTTTGGCCACTTTTGTCACGCGAATTCCTCAAATCCAACTTTTAAAAACGTCTTAGTCCTTCATCCACAACCAACACGTTTTAGCGAAAACGCCAATCTAAATATAACTTTTTCGTCCATTTCTGGCTGTACTGCACATAAGCTTTGAGTATCATCGGATTCTTGTTAAAGGGGCAAAAAGACGTCCAAACGAAGTCTTCACAGTTAAAGTTTGATGAAAAATTAATTAAAGATGGACAAATGAAGAATTAGAGTTCTTAAGAATGGTTTGGAGTATGCAGAGCCTTCTACTACGAGGACAAGTATTTGAAAAATATCTAGCTGTAAACTGTTCTGTAAACTCTGGTAAACAGATTCTTCTTGGACAAATAAGCTAATACATGTTAGATTCCTTCGGCGATTGGATCTGTCAACGTTTTAGCAATGTACAAACATAATGGCTAGATTGTGGCTGAAACACTGCGTACAGTACCGCTCATATAACGGTAAAGTATTGTGACGCCCTTACGCCTTGCTCTAGTGTCTTTTCGTCTACCGGCCACGCACACCCTCCCATCCACGGTAACGTGGGTTTACCTGCTTCAGTTATAGCCTGGATTGTCTTTGCCCTTCCTTGCCTGATATCCTCCCCCTGAAAGGACTAATCTGGGTCGTCTCTACGCTCTTTGTTTGTTGTTATCTATCTTATTGTAATGTGTTTACGTCCATGCCAACTGTAAAGAAGAAAACAAAACGCGCGATAGTTTCAGGTAACAAGATAGAATTTCTCTCTTACAAAGGCAGTCGGGCACCTGAAAGGACTAACTGGGTTTAAAGAAGTGTCTTAGTAGGTTGGGTTTTTTTCTTAATTTTTTTCCACGTCGTGTATTTCCTTATGCATTAGGAATGTAATCGTTTCGTTCAGTCAAACTGGTTAGAAAAGTAGTAAGAACAGAATTAAACACCTTGGTACGGTTGCTTTTGAGATTTTTGGGCGGTGGCTGGCTTCGCTAAGTAATGCCTGAATGAGGATGAGCTATTTCACCTGCATAGGGCCTAGAGCGTCTTCAGTCTAGGCCTTGTGATGTTAAAAAAAACAAACTTAAAGCCGTCAAAGACACAAACATTGCATTGCAGCACAGGTGTTGCTGCTATAGATGCATTCCCAAGCGTATTTTAACCATTAAACCAGTCATACAGTATTTACATATTTACACACATGTCAGAACTGCCCTGAGGAAGGTGACAGACGGTCACCAAAACGTCGGCTGAATGAAGGACTTGGTTGTGTAAAAAGTCTCTTCAATTTACTCAAGTGACTTACCAACGTGATGAAACTATTCACGGAGGAATAACGTACGCTTCTCTGGCAAAACAAAGGGTTTACAGCAGACCCATAGGTCCTGGATTCGAGTGCACAAACATGCCTCGATGTTGCATCTTTGGGAAAGGCACTTTCCTTACTTACCTCCCTTCACTCAGGTGAAAATGAGTACATAGCTTTGGTTAGGGACGTCTCTAGGATAGGACGTCAAAGGGAACCAAAGCTCGGAAACCTGCACAGGAGGCGCTATAGCTATTTTTGGACATCATTTTGTCTGGAGAGACAATGGAGACCGTGTCAGTTCCTACACCTGAGAAAGGAGGGTTGACATGGTGCCACACGGTGGCCTTAGCTTGGATTTGTTTAAGGTGGATAACAGGTTGTAAATATGAGACCCACACACTTCGGGCATCCATCTTCCCCTTCGGATCTATTGCTAATACGCGCGGGAAAAGACGAGTATCGCCGATGCGCCGACGACTCTCCTGCGATTGTCCTCCGACACTTGATACTCCACCTTCAACGATGACCCCCGCCTTCGTCTTGGTCCCATTCTTTTGTTCAAAATGCAAATCAATCAGTAACATAGCCCATGGTCATTGTTGCGATGAACGGACAGGCAGAAACATAAGAAGGCACGGCATTCAAGTCCGTCACTTCACCACCAGAACTCTCTAGGGCCGGACGCAAAACCTGTTGCGGAGGATTTTTGCTGTTTTTCTGAGTGTAAAAAAGGTAATTGTTTTTTTTACCCGCGCATTCTCTCGTCTTCACGCATCTAATTGTACGATCGATATTGGTGAAAACTTTTTTAAAGGTATCGTGATAAAACTGTGAACATATGTTTTTTTCCTTGCCGTTGCTATGGAGGTGTGGACAATACATGATTCTGGCGCTCAAACAAACGCCAAGTCTGTAAGAGCAAAGCGCGCTCGAAGTTTGCGTCTTTTAGTG